GGCCCAAGCGATTTTCTTGCCTCAGCTTCCTGAGTAGCTGGGACTACAGGTGCTTGGTACAACGCTCGGCTATTTTTAGAGATGAGGTCTTGCTCTTGCTCAGGCTGGTCTCAAACCTATGAACTCAGGGTAAACCACCCGCTTTGGCCCCCCAGAGTGCTAGAATTACAAGCGTGAGCCACTGCGCTGGGCTGTATTTCCAGGTTTTAACATCACATTACAGTTACACAAGTGATCAACACTGGTGAAGATAGATTGAAAGGTGCCTACAATATCCCTTTGCATTTCTTTGTAATTTATTGTGATTCCATACTTTTTCAAAATAATCTGTTTTTTAAAAGTATACTGCCATTTTTTCAAAATGAATGATACCTAGTCTGCATCCCATTGCCCACAGCATAATTGCTATAACACTCTGTGGCAAATGACTTTATAGCACACACTATGTATACAGAGGCGAGAAAGTTTTGTGCCCCTTGATTGAATCACCTGATTTCCAGGAATCACCTAATGAAACAACATCAAACATGGAAAATACATATATATAATATATACACACATAACATTGTGACTAAAGTGTAATTGAGAACAAGGTAAAACTAGATGCAACCTAGATGTCTGAGAATATAGGAATCATTAAATTCTCAAAATCTGGGGTTGGGCTGAGTGGCTCACACCTGTAATCCCACCACTTGGGAAGCTGAGGTGGATGGATTGCCTGAGCAATTACAGGTTCAAGACCAGCCTGAGCCAGAGCGAGACCTCATCTCTATACACAGCCGGGCATTGTGGCAGGCACCTATAGTCCCAGCTGTTGGGAGGCTGAAGCAAAAGAATCACTTAAGCCTAGGAGTTTAAGGTTGCTATGAGTTACGACACCATGGCATTCTACCAAGGTTGACAAAATGAGACTTTGTCTCAAGAAAAAAAAAAATCTCAAAATCTAGTCATGGAATACTATGTACTCACTGATAATGTTGGTAATAGTTTGACAACATAATAGAAAATACATATTATAAGAGAATAAAACAAAATTCAATATAAACTCTCAATTATATCGATGTAAAATAAAGATATAAGTAACAGGAGATCCATTTTTTTTGCAGTTTTTGGCCAGGGCTGGGTTTGAACCCGCCACCTCTGGCATATGGGGCTGGCGCCCGACTCCTTTGAGCCAGAGTGCCGCCCAGGAGATCCATTTTTTAAAAACATAATAATTGTGTTAATGTGGCAGAATTTACGGGAATTTTTCTCAAACTTTCTTAAAGAGTTGAATACTATTTTCATAAAGAAATAAAAATACTTTTTACCTTATCCCAGAAATCAATCAAAGCTGTAAAGTCCCATTTCTTAGAATATGCCACATTGTATTTCAGAATAGCATCCTATAGAAAAAGCAGAAACAAAACCTCATGATATAGCCAAGTGAATTACCTGTGAATAGCCTCTTTGAAGAACTATCATGCTTCCAGTAAATTTGTCACTGCTGAACAACCTTCCTTCTACCATTAGCTACACAACATCAGTAGTTACGGACAAACAGAATGCATACTAATTTATTATTCACTTAAGAAAAGTGAGATTAGAAAGGTCAAGTAAAAGAGAAAAAAACCATTACCCTAAAGCATGCATTCTGTATGGGATAATATGCTCCAAATGGACAAAAATTGGACCTTGGAAGATAAAAAAAAAAAAAAACAAAAAAACAAACTTAGATATCACAATGGTTTGATCAAAAGAGTCACACTATATCCACACACAGATATTTGGTACACTTGCAGTATTAAAAATTCATTGGGAGGAGAGATATTAGAAAAACAAAGGTTCAAGAAGATCCTAAAGATAGAGGGCATAACAAAAATAGATGGAGAAATGCCAGCCTAAAGTGTAAAACAGTCTTTTTTCCTTTACTATCAGCTATTTTTATAAGTTACATATAAATGGTTATCTTTCCCTAACAGGTCACATAAATTACACATTTATAGAAAACAAAGTCTAAATACTATGCCATCTACTGGTGTAACTTTTAACTGCCTAGAATAGACAGTCTGATACACGGGGTTTCCAAGGTTGGGTATGCATAAGATAATCTGTTAGTCGAACAGAAAGAATTGTTGTTTCTAATTACAGTTTATCTTTTAAATGTCTATTTTGATTGTATAATATACACATTACATTATTAAAGTAATAAATATGTAGAATTTATAAACAACTAGTGTATTTATATTGGCAATACACAAATTTTTTTCACTGAAGTACACAAGCCTGAAAACCACTGGTAAATTATTATAATAAACTTGCCAAATCTCCTTATCATTGAAAAAGTTTTGGTTTTTTTTTTTTGAGACAGAGTCTCACTTTGTTGCCCTTGGTAGAGTGCCACAACACCCGGCTATTTTTTGTTGCAGTTTGGCCAGGGCTGGGTTTGAACCTGCCCCCCTCAGTATATGGGGCTGTCACCATAACCACTGAGTCACAGGCACTACCCCATTGAAAAGGATTTTTAAAAAATTAATATTCTGCCAAAGAACTTCCTGAAAAATTTATGCCATGCAAATAATTACCAGGCATCTAGGTTAAAATATGATCCAAAATATAGGGTGTCCTAAAAGTCACCACCAAAATCACCATACATAGGGAAAAGAGGGAAATTATAGCTAAATATACCTTTTTGTTGGGGGAGGCAGAGTCTCACTATGTCACCCACAGTAGAGTGCTGTGATATCCCAGCTCACAGCAACCTCAAACTCTTGGGCTTAAGCAATTCTCTTGCCTCAGCCTCCCAAATAGCTGGACTACAGGCACCCGCCATAACTCAGCTATTTTTTTGCAGTTGTCATTGTTTGGCAGGCCCCTGGCCGGGTTTGAACCTGCCTGCCTTGATATATGTGGCTGGCGCCCTAAGCACTGAGTAAAAGGTGCTGAGCCTAAATGTACCATTATTACAAAATATTTAATAAAAAATTTTACGAAGAGGGCGGCACCTGTGGCTCAGTGGGTAGGGTGCCAGCCCCACATATACCAGGCCCTGGCCAAATTGCAACAAAAAAATAGCTGGGCGTTGTGG